AACTTAATAACTATTTTAAGAGGAATTTCAAAGAACACAAACAGAGAGAGAGAGAGAGAGAGAAGTTGCATTCAATTTTAAATGTCCTTCAATTCAATGAACTTATTCATTGATTATATTAGTTGACAATTTAAAAAATTATAAACATAAAGAAAATATAAAATTGTACATTAATATAAAATATTATGATGTATTTGTAAATTATATAATATTATTATTTAATTAAACACAATATGCACTCAAAAGGATCAGAAAAAATAAATTTATGGAATTATACTGTATTAGCATTCAATTCAATTGACGTAAAATAGCAAACATAACGTTTAAGTAAACATTATTATCTTTTTGATTTACAAAATATAATGACATATACAGTACTGTTGTATTAATTGACAATATTTTTATGTAAAGGATATTAACAAATAAGTACGGTATGTTTTTATATTTATAAATTAATAATGTAATATTAAATGAAATGTTGATATAATATCGATAACTAACTTATTTGTAAAATATTTATAAATATAATAATTTTATATAAATATCACCTATGTAAATAAGTTTATATTTTATACAATCTCAGATACAGAATAACATTATAATTTTAATAATAGTTCAACCATGTTATATTTTATAGAGTTTGGCAGATAAATAAGTCTTGACAAAAATGTGCGCTAAAATACTGTCTAATAAATTGTGTTCTGTTGAGATCCCATTGATTTCAATCTCGCAATTAATTATTAATCGATTGAAACATTTTGGAAATAAGGTTTATATGGTAAATATATTAATAATTGCGTGAATTAAACATTATTGTATTGTATACTGTGTTTTATAAAGTATTTTGAATTCAGATTGAATACAATACTCAAAGATGTTTCACATTTTCACAATTGGCTGAAGATTGTCTTCGTATGTCTCGTATTTGGATAGATATGGGCTTAAAAGTTGGCCAAACTTTTGGTATTTGTGGTGATAATAGCTATGAATATATGGTTTGTTTTATTTCAGGTAAATTTATAAATAAGTATTTAATAAATGTACCAAATCTAACACTATCTAATAATATTGATTGTATAATGTCTATAAAATTAGGCATATTTATTGGCGGTATAGCTGTTCCCATGAGAGGAATCGATACAATTGGTATTTATTTGCACTTAATTTTAAGCCATTTTAAAATAAATTTAATGACTATTTTAAGAGGAATTTCAAAGAACACAAACAGAGAGGGAAATAACATTATTTGGTGTGAGTGCTCACAAATTACATCAATTAAGAAATTGTCATTTCTATTCAAATATTGTAAGATTGCTCAAACATATAAACCAATTTTGTTTTTATAAATTCAAAATAATTTAATAAATATAATAATAATAATATTTAGAGCGGAATAGTTTTTGGTGCCAATAGTATTAAAGAAAGCGAAACACATTTTTATATTTACGAAAAACAAATTTCTAAAACACATGCCATAAGTGAACAACAAATATATTCTCCTAAAGATGTTAAGGAAGATATTTGTTTGTTATTAGAGTCGAGCGGCACTACAGGTCAGTCTGTTTTTATTATTAAAATCAATTTCAGACAAAAGTTTGGAAAGTTTTCAATTTTGTAGTCTTTTTTCATGCTTTATCATATGTTGCCATAAATTGAATTACAGTTAATATTGAAAACAAATTGAATAAATTGTTTGCAGGTCTACCAAAAGGTTGTTTGTTTTCACATTACAATTTGGTTTCACTTTTGATTATCGGTTCACTGCCTCAGGTCTACAATAGAAATAGCAATGATATAGTGTCCGGTCATTCCTATTCGGCTCATATATCAGGGGTTAATCAACTCCTTATGTCAATCAATAATGGCTCTCAACTTGTATTACACCCTAAATTCAATTTGAGTACATTTTATGAAGCAATCGAAAGACATAAAATAACCGCACTCTCGGCTCCGGCATCTGTTTTCATGTCATTACTGAAAAGCGGCACTCATTTTGATATCAGTTCACTAAAGAAAGTGATTTGTGGCGGCGCTCCACTACCCAGAGGGTGTACCCAACAAATTGTTGCCAAATACCCTCATTTTGAAGACTTTAGACAAGCGTATGGTATGACAGAAATGACTATTATTATTGCTTATGGAGATTATGGGTCACGTAATTACGAAAGTGTTGGTCAGCCCACACCTGGCAATCAAATCAAAGTAATTGATTGTATTTCAGGGCATTTACTTCCAGCCAATTGTATGGGAGAGATATGTGTGACCGGACCCACACTTTTCAAAGGTTATATTAATATTAAAATTATAGATTCTATCACTTCTGAAAGTCAATTTTGATGAAGAAATGAAAATAACTTACGATTATATTTAATGATTGCTTCCAAAGGTTATCACAATAATATTGAGGCGACGAATGAGACCATAGACTGCGATAATTTTTTACATACCGGAGATCTGGGATATTATGACCAAAACGATAACCTCTTTATTGTGGACAGAATTAAATTATTGCTCAAAACGGATGGAATGCAAGTCTCGCCCACAGAATTAGAAACCATTTTTCTGACTCATATCGCTGTACAAGAAGTGACAGTAATCGGTAAACCCGATGAAATATCCGGTCAATTGCCCACAGCTTTTGTTGTCATCAAAGATCAATATAAACATGATTTTGATTGCAATCAAATCCTAGAATTTGTTAATTGTATAAAAACCTTGTCCTATATTTTCCTTTATCTGCTGTTATTTACAATACATTTTATTCATAACTTTAGCACGAATTACACCACTTAAGAGGATTAGAGGAGGAATTCATGTCATTGAAGACATTCCCAAAAATAAAAACGGAAAAACAGATCGAAATAAATTGATGCATATTTTAATGTCTTATTAAACTCTATTTATCAGTATAGACAATTTGTATCTATGTCAGTATTTACGACTATTAAATCTTATATTAAAATATACATAAAATTACAAATATTCAATTTCATTAAATTTTATTGACAACGAATGCTTTAAATTTAGCGCTATTTATTGTAAAGATAAGTATATTAACTTAAATTGAGTATAATTTATGTTTAATATCTATTACTATCACTACTATTGTTATCGTTATGGAAATGTTGTGTATTTGTTTTGTTTGAATTTAACAATTATATAAATAATAATATGAATCGTTTCGCACAAGTTTTCAAGTGTTGCGCAAGAAATCAGACGGCAATTATAGGTATGGTTCACGTGAAAGGGCTGCCAATGAGTCCATTAAATAATGGATTAAGTATTGAGCAGTTAATCGACATTTCTTGCAAAGAAGCAGAAATATACAAAAGGCATGGATTGGATGCCATTTGTGTGGAGAATATGTTTGACATCCCTTATGTCACGCGAAGGGATTCTGGACCTGAAGTGACAGCAATGATGACAAGAATTTGCTCTGAAGTAAAGAAATGTGTGCCAAATATGGCGGTCGGAGTGCAAGTGTTGGCCGGACTCAATCACGAAGCACTGGCCGTCGCC